ATATTATTTTAAATTCATTTGTTATACTTCCATAAAAATATGAATTTTATATATATCAAGACGATTATATTTTTAATACTTAATAAATTCATGCTTATGTTATCTTTTCTATATAAACATTAATAACAATAATAATTATAATAGATAATAACTCCTATATATGTGGTAAAGATGCGACGCAATTATTTTTCGCGTATATATGCATACATACATATATTCCATATGATGGAATAAACAAAGTCTAAAGATAGTATAAAATAGCCGGCGATAAATTATTTACTCTTAATCTTTTTACCATTTTTAATTACTTAAAATTGTTCAATTATTATTATTATTGATAATTATTAAGTATTTATCACTTAAGTACTTGTGTATTAAAATAAAAGCAAAAAAAAAAATGTTAATGGAATGGAATTATTTTGTAAATTAAATTTAAAGAGTGCCACATGCTAATTTAATCTTGTCTACAGTTAAAAGGAGATTAAATTAACGAAATTCGGAAAATTTTTACAAAGTATTTAAAAAAACTGTTGATAATTTAAGAGCAATAATAATATGTGTATTAAAAATATTATCTATAAATATTTAAAAATTCTATTTTTAAATTTAGCTATTTATCGTTGAAAATAAGCACTTATACTTAAAAATATACGTACGTATTTTAATTATCTGGTATTAAAGGAGTTAATAATATTAAAAATCAATTAATGATCATTAATCATATTACTTATAAATATGTAGTTTAAATAGTGTCATTGTGTATATAGTTTATAGTGATATATAGAAGACAAATTTTGTAATTACATAATAGGACTATTTTTTTTGAGTGACGCTGCTTTAAATTAAAAAAAAATTTATACTCACTATAGCGCCCTTCAAAAAAGTAGCTTGTTATGTTATTAGAAAAATTGTCTCCTGTATAACACTATAAACTATGTATATACACAATGGTATAGTGCTTAATATTGTTATACATAAAATTTTGAAGAATCTTATACTAATTACTAATACCTACATATATATTTACGTACATATACATATGTATGTATAAGAGCATGTAATTATTTCAAGTATAGACACACATCTACAATACACATGCACAAATGGCTACATTCGATAATATTAGGAATAACACTGTTATTAGATAAATAACCACTTTGCATGCAATTTGAATGTATGTATAGTCGATAATTTGCTATAATATATTATTGATATGGAAATTTTATTAAAAGATAAAATTACAATATTACATTACATGTTTAATACCTATTTTAATATTTCTACATTCACATAATAAAATTATATAAATAGCTTTTTGAAATGCAAACAATAAAATATGCATTGTAAATATAGTGAACGTAACATGATTAACAGTATAACCGAAAAACTATACCAGTATACGAGTATATAAAATATTACGTTATTTGAATATTAAGTTTTAATAGTGTATACATGTATGTATATAGTATAAGAAAAAAAGAAAAACGAAAAATCTTGTTAATAACTTTGACTCCATTGCAGGGCATTCAACTCTCAACAATTTTGTATGAAGAGAAAAAAAAAAAATTGAAATTGTTAACTCGTGTGAAAAAGTCATTTTTAAGTTTCTAATTTCTTTTATATTTTTCTTTTTATATTTAAATTCATATAAATACTATCCAACTTTTATATATTTTTTATTTTAAGATAAAATCAAAAAATAATACTCATTTAACTTGCATACGTACACATACACAGAAATTTTTGTTTACAATTTACATGTGGAAATTTTGTATATTTTTAGTTTTCTATAGACAAGACAAGTTGGAATGCACATGTTCACTTCATATTATTTAGATCAATGTTGGATATTTATTATAAAAATTTACTGATTGTAGTTATTTTGCATTTATATTGTGCATAATTTGTAAATATTGTAAGAGTATATTAAATTAATTTGATTGTATGCGTTTATAGCAGAAAATTTAAAATTTTATTAAAGGAAGGTATGCATAATAACTTGAATTATGAGAGCGAAATTACTTGAATTATGAGAGCGGAATGACGTAATAATTATTATAGAGTAGTCTATTGCATACTTCTTGGGGTAGTATTATATAAAAGTGTATTCTTAGAGTCATGTAATATTTTTCGATCCCGTGCGTAAAAATATAATTTAAATTTTAATTTAATTAGCTAAATAATTTTAAAATAATTCTATAGTAGAAATCAGTAGCATATTTTTATGTTGATGTTGACATTAACGTAGGTCTCTTTATTTCTGTATATATATTGTATTTATATGTATTATATGTGTAAACTTACCCTGAATCGATGGTTCATGCTCGAATACAATAAAATACAGCATTGAAATTAATTCTTAAAATATAATAAAATTAATATAAGTACATAAGTAATTATTATTGGTGAAATATATTTACAAAATATCGATAACCTTTTTTAATTATTCACATACATAGGTGTATTTGCATAGATCTTTTGTCTATCTATGTTTTTATACAAAATATATACATATATATTTATCTGTGGTTACAAGTAAAAGCTGCCTAAATTTTATTTGACATGCGAAAAACTAAATTTTAAATTTACTTAAAGCACAGTTTTTCAAATTGGTACGTTTTTCCTTGAAACCACAAAGTTGTGTACTTGTACATGTTCAACAGGTATTCATTTATTATTTTTTTAATTTTAATTTTTAAATTTTTTTGTTTTAGATATATTTGACGTTGTATTTATCGTAAAAATCATTATCAAAAAAAAAAAATACAAGTGAAATTGCTTGAGCTTAGTATTCATATGGCAAAAATTAATGTAATTTATAAAAATTTTATCAAAAAATAAATAAAAACATTGAAAAAAAATCAAACAACAAGAAACACAGCCGTACGCATTTTTGTTTATTCTCTCAGCACAACAATTTGATTGGCAACTTAAAAGAGGAATTTACTTAAAAATTGTATTGAAAAAAAAATTAATTGGGCATTTTAAATAAAAAACAAAATTATAAAATAATATTTTTAAAAATGCATATGGCTGCAATAAAACGACAGTCATTGTTATCATCAATATGAAGTAAACCACTTTCAAATCATAGTTAACAAGACGAGTTTTATAAACAAAAAAAAATAAAAATCATTTTATGCATAAAAAATAATCATAATTTCAAATTGAGTGTTATTTTTTAAATACATAAAGAATCAACAAATACATTGACATTTTTTTGTGTATAAAAACATATATGAAATTTATATATAAAGAAAATAGAACAAAAAACAAAAACCAAAAATTCCACCTTTATTTTTTTTTACAAAACCAAAAAACCAATAACAATAAACGCGTTTTGATAAAAATATTTTCAAAATGCACGGGATATCACATTTAATACGACAACATGCGCTGGATAAACAATCTAGTACTGATAGTTGGCATTCAAGCCGTGGCTCAAACCTATCTACAGTATGTGATAGAAATCGTGATACAAGTAATTTTTTAAAACAATTTGATGCACCATACAGGATGCCTAGTATTAGTTCAGGAAGTAGTGATGATTCTGGTGATGAATCACCAAACTGGTCAAAAGGTAAAAAAAAATATAATATTAATTTATATAATATATTAATTTTAATAATTTTATTTTTTTAGATAAAGAAAAGCTTTTGACATCAAGCCCACAACCAGTTCCGGATTCATGTAGATCAATAAGTAATCATTTTCGGAATTCACCAAATTATCCAAATTGTTTAGGTGTTAAAAGTTCCTATGATAGTTATGGCAGTAGTTTAAAACGTACACCATCATCTAAACGTAGTATTTTATTAGATAGATCTAACAGTCCCAGTATATATAACGTATATAAAAAAATATCGTGTGTTGGCAATATTTTCTAATTTTCATTTTGTTTTTGCATTTTAGAATCGGCGGCATTCTGTTGATCCATATGGTTCACCAACACAAGCAGCCGGATATTTTCCACATGATTTAGATGATATATATGAAAATCATGCTGATCATCAATATTATACATATAGTGCCACATATAATCCAAAACAAAATGAACGTCCCTCTATAAATTCAATATTTCATCGTGTTAATGCAGCACATTCACTTGATGATTACAACTCACATTCTCCATATTCATCATATAATCGTTATCATAGCGTTGATGGTCATGACCGTTTACCATATCGTGGACGTTTTGATAATTCAATATTTGCAAAAAGTTTATCAAGTAGTAATTCACAAAATAGTAATACAAGTGATTCGGATAAAGATAAATCAAATAAAAAGAATAGTAATAATGATAGTGGTCATCATGGACATCATCATCATCATCACCATCATCATCATCATCATTCAATACAAGAGATGTTTAAACATTTAGGGAAAAAAGTTCATATATGGCCAAGAAAATCACATGAATCAAATTCAGTTATGAATTCACCATTAGTTAATGAAGATTCCAGTGAAGATCGTTTTCGTAAACGTGCTAAAAGTTTAGATGTGAATTTTCATAGTAATAAGATATTAAATGACTGTGAAGCAACCTATAAGGTTTATGAGAAGATATTAAAGGAAGGTAAATTAATCATTCATCATGGTACATAATCAAGATGGTCTTATGTTATATATGAATATAAAAACAAAATTTTTAAGTTCTTTAAAGCAATTATTTAGAAGATTTTCCTTCATTTTGAAAATGTTGTGCAAATAAATTTCAACATCTTGTTAGAGGAAAAAAATCCTTATGATAAGAATCCTTAAAATATAGATTTTTTTTTGTTATTTTACAAACATTCTTTTGTTATAAATCCTACGATTTTTTTTTTTCATTTTTTTTTTTTTTGTTACGTAATATTCCAAATATTCAAGTATTTAAAAATAATTTGGGTACTTGCAAAAATTTTATTTTAGAGCAAATATTTTTCTTTTTTATTTTTTTTTTAAATTTTTATCAAACGTTTTCATGAAATTTAATTTTATTATTTTCAATTTTTGTTTAGGTGCACATATGCGAAGAGCTTCAGCTGATTTAGAAAAACGTAGAGCATCAATAGGCGTAACAAGAGGCTTAAGGGCAGATGGTACATTAGATCCACATCATGCAGCAATATTATTTAGGGATTCAAGAGGGGTAAGTCAATTTGCTACTGATAAAGTGAAATTTAAATTCAATTCATTCAGTTTATATTATATGAACTCGTTGCTTTGCAAATATGTGTATAAAAAATTGTGGACATATTTTCGTATCTTCACGTTCAATGTTGATTCACATAAATTGTATGGTCAACTAGGTGTTTCGTTTTAATTCAAAAATGCAATTTAAACGGTGTAAAACCAAACTTCTCTCCTACTTTATAAAAATTATGAATTAAAAAACAGTTTTTTTTAAAAAATGTTAAGTTCTATAATGTTAAAAATATGAAATTTTGTTCTTTATTATAAGCCATATAGATTTTTTATAAAGCCATAAGAAAACGAACAATTATCACTGGCAACACTCCAATATATTTGTATGTAATAACAATTATATTAAAAAAAGCTTTTAAGAATAAAAAGTTGATAATGTTCAATTTGAAATTCACCATATTGCAATGCAATATAATTTACTATGAAAGGTTTGTGTCCGTAGTAAATATTATTTTATATGGGTTTCAAAACATGCTATTTTCAACTATTATAAAAAGCAGCTTTACACCTCTGTTTTGAATACAAAAATTTAGCAATAAATTTGTAAATTTTTTTTATTTTTAATTATTCAGAAGAGGCGTCGGCGCAAAAGTAGCAGCTAACAGCCTCCTGTTACAAAAATTTTATGCTGAGTATGTCCTGATAACCATACTCCACTATAGAAATCAAAGATTTAGCCAGAAATTTTTGGCTATTGATAACTATAATGCGTTATTTACTACATTTAGAAAAAAAAACATAGTAGTAACGAGCACCCTTTTATTGCTTTTAAATATAAAAGTTTTTATTATTATAGATTTTGTTTCAAAATTTATCTGTGAGTTTTATATATTAACTGAAATTTATATTTTTATCTGTATTGGTTACTATATTTACATACAAAGAAACGTGGATATTTTAATGTTATGCATTTCATTAAAGGAATTTCATGCTTTCAGCACTTTTTGTGCAATACAGAATGCGAATTTGTTTTTATAAAATTATTTATTTGCTTTTTAATTCATTAAATTAATTTTAATAAATTTAATTTACTTATAACATTTTATAATAAATTAATTGTAATAAAAAAATTAAAATTTCATGATCGTAAGATAGTGCCAATTTACGTTCTTGGTTCAACAATTGAACTAAACTGCATTTTTTGTTAGGCCAAGTCTACATACAATGTTTGGTATTTTGTAATTTAGAACAAACAATTTTAATTTTAAAATTACCATTTAATTAGAATATAAATATAAGAATAATTCTAATACAACAATTTTACTTAGAATTTCACAGTACGTACATCCGTGCAATAAATAGTTACGTAATTTCCTATGTTATGTGACGCCATGCTTTTATTATTATAATATCCGGCAACAGTTGTTTTACAACTAAAATAAATACATAAATTCTTTCATATTTGCCTTTAATCCGTAATTCGTTTTTGGGATTATGTACATATAATATGCACATCCTGCTTGTGTCTTGCTTTTTTTTGAATTTATTCAACCCAAATTATTCCTGAGTTGTTATACACATGCACTAGTATCAAAGATACTGGTTTTTAGTTGAAATATTTGAAAAAATTCTTAAAATTCAAGTTTCAGACATAAATGCAAGTGTACGTAGGTAGATGTGCAAGTCTTAATGAAATCAATACTGGTCTGATAAGTTTTTTTTTTTCATTTTTAAATTTGAGTAGTTTAAATTGAACTACATTTTTTTGTTTTAATATAAAAATAAGAAAATAAAGGTCAGATTTTATTTTATTCATAATATCGTATAAAAAATAAATATATTTTTTTAATTATAAGTGCATAAACCTTAAAGAACATAAGTCATCATTTTTTTGTTTTTGTATTTTTCGAATATTAGTTTGAAAGCACCATACTAAAAGAACAAATAAATAAAAATAAAACAAAATATTTATGCTTACCTTCATTTTACAGATTCATATAATATGTGAAATTCGTGACTATATTAAACAACTTTGTATGATTTTTACGCTACTATTTTAATTATATTATTGTTTTCTTTTTGTATCAATTAATAAATGACCGTAACCATGAAAATTTTTAAAATAACAATGCAATACAAAAGTTTTGAACTATAAATTTTATTTCTTTGACAACGGTACATACATATATTTTCTGTGATTGTATCAGTCAAAACAGCTTTCCACAGTGTTTTATAAAATTCACGTGTTGAGAATATGACGTTAGATTCTCGCCAAGAATTACAAGATCTTTCGCTCTATGCTATTTGACATAATTTTTTTCCAGTTTTCAATACTCGTATTTTTAAACTGCACTGTAACTGCTATACATAACACAAAAACGTGTACATATTTATTTATAATTTTTTTTTGCAACACGATTTTTAGAAAAAAATGCGGCTACTGTATACATTTTTTATTTATATATCAAATGACATTGGCAATGATCATAACGAATAAATTTTATTTAATAACAAAGAATTATGTATTTTTAACTATATAATTAAATATCTTACCTATGTGATTAAAAACTCCATTAGCAGGTGTGGAAATGAGCCAGTAAAATTTTTTTCAAAAAGATTTAGCGAACTCCTCTTAAATCTGGGCTTTTTGCAGTACTTTATTGTCAGCGATTTTGCAAATTTTTGCTTGCCTATTGTCTTTGATAGTATACAGTTTAAAATTATTCTTTTTCTATAGTAAATAAGGGTGAATTAACAATTTTGACAACAAACTAATAATTGACCAGTGATTTTGTTAAAAAATATATTAAACTCACCACTGCTTTATAACAATTATAGGATAAGATTTTTTAAATATTTGAATACGCTTGATTTAAAAACAGTCCGATATTAAATATGTGTAAATTTAATTTATAATCAATTGTGTTAAATTTATATTTATGCAAATAATCAAAATGAGAATCAATAAAAATTTTTCATTTGCTGATGATTCATTTTAAATAACACAGTTTAAAATTACGAAATTCTAATTTTAATTTTAATATTATAAAATTTTGTTTGGTTATAATATTTTTTTTTTATTTAAATTTAATTAGAATACCAATGCTAAATTTCATTGTGAACATTGTACATTATAAATGTATGTTGATATAAAAAATTTCACATTGTATATAGCTATACTCTTAAATTTTAATTTAGGAATATACAACGGTACAACCATAACTAGATTTTATAATTTAAATATGGTTTTTAATAACTTGTTAAAAAATTAAAAGTTTGTCTCTTGTAAAACTTAAACTTATTAAAGATTAAGAATTTATTTGATAATGTTTTAATTTGATTACTTGAAACTATACATATACGAATTTTGACTTAGATCGTTATTCCTTAGTACCACTGAATTATTAATTATTTTATACATCAACAATATAAATAGTTGTTAAATTCTAGTGAAACGTAGTCTCTTTAAGCTCTAAAATTTTCCCAAAATTTTAAATCATTTTTATTTATTTTATTTTTGCAAATCACTTTTATTAATCTCTAAATATGATTTTACAAATTATTAATATAAAAAATTGTGTAAAATTCAAGTTGAACAACATTAAATTCACAATAAAATTATCTTATTAAATATAGATTTTATTGTGAATTTATTATAATATTTTCTATTTATACTAAAAATATTTGAATTAAATTTCAATTTTAAATTGACATTGTATTGCAAACATTGTTTATTTATTTATCATTTATTTATTTATTTATTATTTATATTAAAAAGTTTTCTATATATACAATTAAAATTTTAAAAATTATTTTTGAATCGCGCAGTAATATTATATGTGCTATACATTCACAATAAATGAAAAAAGATTTTTGCATTTATTAGCGGCTTTTAATAAGCTTTAATTATGATCAATTGATCATAAATTTCTTTCTTCAAATAAAAATTCAGTACATTCATACAAAGATTATTTACATTATGTGTGTATATAAAAAAAATTTTTGATATTTTTTTTTTAAATATTTTTTCGTATTTCTCTTATACTCATTGAATTTATTTACTAATATTGTTAATTGCTGTTTTTGTTTTTGTTTTTTTCACATAAACTTGAAATCTTCGCGTGTTGGAATTAAGTAGTATAAAGTAATGCATTCGTACATAGTAAAAATAAAGAAGAAAAACTACAATAACAGTTCTTATACAATATACGAAATTGATTAAATCAATTTGAAATAGTACCTACACTATGGGACTATGATAGTAAAAATCAGTATAATTTTAACTTTAAACGTGATTGGTTGTGTTTTATATTTATTTTTTTTTTTGTAATTTTATAAACATAAAGTATAATCGGCATTAATTCTCATAAATTTTCTCTTTTTGTTCTTACTGGAATATTATTGCTGTTACGGAATTTTTATTATTCGAAAAATTTTATATTTAAAATTTATTTTCGGGCACTGTCTCAGATTTTTTTTTTAATTTTCAATAATATTTTCGGCAATTTGTTTATTTTTATAATATTCTTCATACTTAATCAATATTTATTTTTAATATTAAAATATATTTGAATTAATTTTCACTATTTTGGTGTTAGAAAGTTGTAAATATTTAAGTTTTAAATAATCTGTGCACATGATTTTGTGAAAGGGTTGCAAATTATTTTATTGTATGACAGACACTTTATATTACTGTAGTATAGAATTTTTGTTAAAAATTTGAAATAAAATGCAAAGTTATTGTATAAGATACTTATAAGAATTCAATATAAACTAAAATTTCAAATAATTAATCGCATTTAATCAATTACTCGTTTTTTCGATTATTGGCGAATATTATCGAATTTGACGAATATTTCCGAAAATTGTTTAAATAAACGTGTTTCACTATTTACCTGATTCAATTAGATACAATTATGTATATAATTCAACAATTATTGCAAAATAATGAAAATTTAAATATTTTGTAATAAAAAATGTTCAGGGCAATAATAATTACCATAATTACAATAATAATTATATAAAAAATTATAATTTTTTTTTCTCTTTATGTTAAAGCTAAAATCCATGTTTAAAAAATCAATTATCATTGCAAAAAGTGTAAAAATTTCATTGAAAAAATCAAAATTCAATAAAAATTTTAACTATAAAATGAAATGATAAATTTAAATTGCAAAACTAATTAAGAAAATTACAAAAAAAAAAAATTCATGTTATAAAGAATTTTGAAAACAAAACAAAAAAAAATTTAAAATAAAAATAGAAAAAACGGTAAAATGTTCCGTCGTATGTCATTAGTGGATTCATGCCCACCTGTATCTTCAACACTATCAGTATTACCAAAAAGACGTCCTAGTCATAAAAATGCTCAAACACAAACTAGCAAATATCAGCCACCGCAAATTATTATTGATCATGTACCACAACAATATCTTATAGCATTTGAAAAATATCGTAAATCACGTTCATTAAATTCATCACCAGAATATTTAAATGTTAAAAAGAAATTATCATTAGATAATACTAGTAATTCTAGTATGTCTTCATATGAAGAAATTTCATATGATGATACTAAATTTTATTTAGAAGATAGTAATACAACTAATCGAACATTATTATCATCATCATCATCATCGAATTCGAATTCGAATTCATCAAATTATAATGGATATTTATCAACAGAAAATATATCATCTCCACGATGGTATTCTAGACTTGGTAATACATTAAGACGTAGTGCTATTTGGAGAAGACATAAATTATCTAAAGTAAGTTTAAAGACCTATGAATATTAATTAAGACCTCTACAGGACTAATGAGTGATTGATAATAGTAATTGGGTTTAGTTTTTAAGAATTATGAATGGTAAATACAGAAAAAGGTGCAAATTTGGATATAGTTTCTGTTTGATTGCATGTATCTTCACATAAAAACATTATTCATGAATATATTCTAAGGATTTGATTTCGAATAAATATTTTTCGCAAAATTCGATGTATTTAATACAACTTGAATAAATTTTGTTTTTCGAAGCTGCAATTTATGTATTACGAAATATTCAATATAAGCAAGAAATTTGACTTATCCACAAGAAAATTAATTAGATTTACCATCCTTTCTGTGCGGCCACTTTAAAAAATAGATATTGAACGACAAAAGAAGCCATTGCTTGCCCAACTCAATCTTATCTCCTTATTTAACATAAAATGTTATATACATAAAACAATAAACGTTGTTCTATTTTACAATTGACTTGAGAATTAAAAATAAAATTAATTATCTCAACACGTTTTTAAAATAAAATTAATCATAACTTTCACTTAATTACTAATGCTATGTAATAGTTAATAAATTGAATTAATTAGAAGGGAATTTTTCCATTTCTTTACATAATGTTAGAATGTATACATTTATTTACTACTTACAAATTATATTCAATTTGTTAGGTATGCGATAATTATTCTAATTGCTCTATTAAAACAAAGTTATAAAGCTTTTTAATTATAAAATTAAATAAACACCTTGTTTTAAAAATAGCACCAAATTTAAAAAATTTACGCAAAAATTTTTTTTTAATAATAATGCGTGTATTTGTACACGTAAAATTTCGGAATCTTATTGTGATGTCATCATTATTATTTAATATTTTTATATATTAAAATATTCCAATTAATAATCTTTATTCCGTGATATAAAATTCCATTTAACTATATATAAGAAAACTATTGATCATCTAAGTGATATGTAAGATTTACATAAATTCAATCGTTGTGTACGGAGTCATAAAATTTTTGTAGTAAATGGAAATTCCAAAGAGTTATGAATTAGCGTCATAAAGAAATCGTGAAATTATTATTGTTTTGATTTCAAAATTAAGGTCAATAATTTAGTCATACTCATATTGAAAAATCGAATTTTATCTGTTGATTATCTCAGGCTAAGAACTTGATAATCAAATATGTATTTCATATTTTTCAAAAATTATCGATTACATTTGTATTAAATCTAGTAAATATATTTTTTGCGAAAGTAATTTCCCTGAATTGCACATGGAATACTTTTAAATCCAGAAATATTCTGGATATTCTTGTGTAATGTGCAGTTACTAATTTATTATGCAGTTATATACTCATATTATTTTGTAAAATTCGACGATTATTTTATATTTTACTGTTATGTGTTAAAATAAAATGAAACCTTTGTAGAATTTTGGTTTTACTATGACGTTTTTATTAACATTATTATTATTTTTGTTAAATTAATAATTATGGTTTTTTCCACAAGTTAAATTCTACATAAATCATAGAGATTAATGAATTGAACACAATTTTAAATGAAAATAAAAATAAAAATATATTGTAGAATGTAGATGAATAATAATATAACAATAATGTAAATATTGCTTATATTAAATTCATATCTCTAACTAGAATTTGTATTACACTGTCTACATACGTAATACATTGTGTGCATAGAGGATAAATACCTAGAAAAATAAAACTTTTTAATTTAACGCGATTCATAACGCGATTCGTAACAAATTTTACAGAAATTATAATTTAAATTAAATAATTCTCATTAATAATTATTGTTTTCCACATGTTTTCAGCTATTTAATAAATTTTATATAGCAATAATTCAAAATTGTTACAAATCCCGGATTTTGTGAAAACTATGGAATATATTTTGATTTTTTTAATTTATTCATTTCGTAGCAATTTCTTTAGCGGAATATTATATTTTTAATGGGGTAATAATTGCGGTATATGTTAAACTTCATTTTAAATTTTTATTTTCCTATAAAATAGAAAAATTACACATTTACGATTATCATTTTTAGTGCGTCATATAATATGTTTGTTCTTACTCAAATTTTACTTGCTTTAATATTATTTGTTCATCTGTGATGCTTGAATACTTAAGTATATAAAATAAAAGTTTCTTAAACAAAAGGGATGATCCGATTTATCTTCTTGGAATTTTCTTTTCAAATTAATTTTAAAAATTGTTGATGATGCCTGAATATCCAAATCATTTCACATGCACATACTAAATTTAAATTTTCAAGATCCAATTGAAAATAATAGTAAATTTGTGTCTATTAATCCGAAATTTATTACCATATAGTGTATAGATGGAAAAATTATACAGTACATACCCACATCTGTTGTATTACTGCTTACTTTCACAATTACTTTAGGAAATTTCTTAAAAAGTGATCTTTATAATTTTCTTTTTATTCAATTCTAAATTAACTTAAATTGATTTTGATTGAATTTGAAAGAAAGAAAACAATATGAAAATTAAAAAATATTGTCTTTTTTAAGCGGGCTATTTATTTGTGTGTGTGTGAGTGTAGTTAAAGTCTATTTTCATAAATCAAATAGTAAATAGCTAGTAATTAAATTATCGTTATTGTTTCTTTTTTTTTAAATTTTAAGAAAATTTAAATATGAAAAATATTTTATTGGACAATATTCTATATGAGTATGCAAAATGAATCAAAACGTATTTATTAATTGATTATTTGAATTGTTCCCGAAAATTTATTCGAGGCATTTCCGCTATTTAAATACATACACATATAAAATTACAATAAAACTGCAATATTATCGAGTTAATTAAATTGGAAATTGAATTTAAATAAAATTAAAATATTAATGCTATATTGAAATTTCTGAGAAATTTAAGTGATTTCAAATAATTTTTTTTGTTATTTTTACAGTTACCAGTGGCAGATCCATTCTTAGAAAAAGTTAGCCTTTCAGATTTAGGTAAGTTATTGCAAGCATACATATGGTTTTTTTTTTTTGAATACATATGTATATGAAAAATCTGTTGCATATTTGACAAGCCTTAAAATGTTAATGTCGGAATTTTTTTTTCCTTAAATGGTAAATTTATATAATAATCAAATTACTTTACATAATAATTGCTGTAGAGGCACTAATTACGAGTATACTCAAACAAATGTCCAAATTAAAATAAATTGAAAGAATTTAATTCTTATTTAATTTTGACATTTCTATGTCATTTTGACAATTCTATGTGTATTTTGACTGTTAACTACTTTATTAATTAATCAAAAATTCGATTGTCTCAGATCAAACGTAATCAGTATATCAAAAATACGACATATATTCGTATATATATATGGTATGGGAGACGAATGATTGAAATGTGGGTGCAATACTCGCTTTTATTAAGTCAGAAGCAACATTGCAATAGAATAATCATGTTAATCTGTTTTTTTATAATAATAATGACATTATCTCAATAATCATTGAAATCCTACATGAGAGCCACCAGTATTACATCAGATTATGACCACAAAATATTAACATTTTGCAATACAAAAATTTAACAAAACTATAAAATAATTCACAAAAATTAATTAAATATAAAAATTAAAAAAAAAATTTTAAAATTTTATAATTTATTTAATTATATAATTGTACATGAATGTTATTGTACTCACATTTTTACCCTTATACATTTAAAGCGCTATAATATTATTAGAATATTTAATCAAGATTTCATATGCGGTAAATTAACAATATCTTGCCAAATAAAAAAAAATTTAAGCATTTTAGCAAATTATCTAATATTATAAATTATGGTGTATATAAAATCATTAATATTTATTTAATTAATTGTTCCGTTAAATTAAATGCATCGCAAAATAATTTTTATAATTATAAATTTTCTAAATATTCTATACCTTTGATTTCTTATACATACACAAAATATACTTATACTATATGAATGTATGTATGGGTATGTGTTTAAATACTGTTTAAATTGAAATATGTATGTAGGTATTAAAGATTTTATATTATATTTTTTTAATTTGCCAAAAGTTAATTAAAATATTGATAATATTACTCGAGACATCTTATATTGCCAAAAATTTTCTCTTCATAGAATTTCAAAACAAAAAAATTCTTTAAATATTTTTAAAGGAAAAAAAAAATTAGTACAAGATTTTTTCGACATTAAAAGAACAAATTTAAAATTATTTTGGCATGATGCATTTTCTCCCTCATTTTACAGCTCATATACTACATTTAGTCGAATTTGATTCTTTTTTCAATTTAATATAGTCAACCATTCGAAAAAGCTAATTTCTTGCTTTCCTAAAAATTTATTAAACTCACTTCCATTTTAGGTTAAAAACCATAACAGTTTTAACTCTTCGAATCTAATGTGATTTTATATTGAATTCCTACAAAATTTCGACAGAAGTTAATTTTAACTTGTACTTTAGTGATAACTTGCAGATCAAATACTACTATCAGAGCCCCGTATAGAGTTTTTCTTCAAATTTCTAAAAAAAAATAACCTGTATTTAAATTTGTACCTAGCTATTTTTAATAGTAATCAAATAGTAAATTAAATTTCACCAAGTTTCACTAAAAATACCAGCTACATAAAATTATAATACCAGAAAATCTTCATAAAGAATTTCGTTTTTTCGACTAGTACCAACGACGACAGAATAATTTATTCCAATTTATCTATATATGATGATAGCACGTGGCTTATATACATACAATATAGAAATATATATTTTTCTTTATAAACCTAAATATATAATATTAAGAAGAACATATTTTAGTACTTAATAAAATTGTCATGAATGTATGTGTTGGCGCTATGTCGAAATCAAATAAAATTCAAAAAATTTGTAAAACAAAAATTAAAAATAAACAAATAAATCACTTAAATAATTAAATATCAACAAACAATAATATAAATATGTATGTAGATATATGTAATAATATATTATGCTTCTTATTAATAATTATAATTAATTATTACAAATTTTATAAAGAGAAAAAAATTTTGTTCAAAAACTATTCAAATTTTTATTAGTTTAGAAAATTGAAAAAATTTTCCAATACACACATATAAATGAAATGCTACGCTACTTCATAAACTATTTGTTATAAAAATTATACTCTCTTCATTCTTATCTTGAATTGATGTGAAATTAATGGCTTTTATAAATAAATTCATTATAAATTAAATAATTATGTTTCGTCGTCTACTATTCGCATCTATTTTGATTTCACCTGATTTTGACCTTTAACACCTCAAAAATTGAAAATGAATTCAACATTAGCTTGTGTGTATATAGATGTGTACATAGTTAAAAAAATTATTTGACGTGAACAGCAGCGCCAATTACTAATCTAATAATCTAATTTTTTATTTTTTTTTAAGATGTAAAATTGAAAAGACTTTGAAATTGTAAAAAAAGAAAGAATTTTAGAGGTTAATATATTCAATTGAGCTGTCTATCAGCTGTTATCAGTTTTATGTGATGTTTTCGTTGGAAACAATCATTCATTTATTGTGAATATGTATGAAAATGTATGTGTATATAATTTTATTTTGATTAATTAAGCAATAGGCTCGATGTTTGGCTAATTTAACGTATTTTGAATTTCGATTAAAAATTTCACCATATCATTAAATTGTATTAATCGTTATCCCAGATACCTCATAGAGATTTCATTCATAAGTATGTATAATACATACATAATGGACACTAATTATGCTAGGCCTTTTCATGAACTCAGTATATCGCGATAGATGGCGAAAACTGCACTATATTTGTGTCCATAATGTTCCTAATCTTAGAAACATTATAAATTTTAGCAACATTAAGATTTATTCGAAAAAAATTTTCATACATACTGTACATATATTTATGCATAACATACATATATAATAAATTTATAAAAAAAATTTTAATTCTCCAAATGACATAATATACATACATACATAAATATATATGCCAATACTTGTGTGCTTTCAGTACTATAAATTTTATTTTATCTCGGGAAATACTATAGAGCATTTTGCAATTTTAACGCTTACTTCTATTTTCTATATTGTTCTCTAAGTCATATGATGTAAGAATATCAATATATGTATGTATGCATATAATCATGTATGTATGTTGTTCTTATTGACCGACTGGTACCCAAATTATATTTAGAAAACAAATTTTTTCTTTCTTTCTTTTTAAATTTGTCAGCTGTTTTTAAAAAAAAAAAAATTTCTCAAAGTTACCATTTTATTTTAAAATTTAGTTTTTAATTGATGATTTATTTTTTTTTGTACAAATTAAATTTGTATAATCTATTAGATTAGACTATTAAATTTGAAAATCTTAATTTGAATTTATAATTTTTGAGATTTTCAAATAAAATTTGGAAATTCAAAATATATTAAATCGGCATACTGGGAAGGATAACGACAAGGATTAAAAATATAACTTCGAATTCCGGAATTTAAAATATTTATAGCCAAGTGTAAATTACTATCAAAGGCTAAAAAAAGTTGGTATTCTACTAGTATATGCACAAATTTTCTGTATTATTTTGTTACAGAAAAACTTTGTATATGAAAGTACGTATAACAGCAATAAAATCAAGTTTGCGACTTTGTATTTTGACTTATGGCATTGTTCTCGCAAACGTACGATATATATAGCTCCCAAGCGTGTTTATATTTTTCATAAAAATATCATTCCGAAAGACATAGTTCTAAATTTACATTTCTTCTATGTTAACAATAGTACAATATAAAAATGTTTTTTTTTTTCTATCAATTTATTCTTCAATTAATTTACATACTTTCGATTAATAAAAAGTTGTTTAAAAGCACAAAATATTTTCTCAGATATATGGTCACTCTATTATCATTATTTTTATTATTATCTTATATATGTGTGTGTATGTAAATTTTTTCTATCTACTTCTTGCAGCCTCACAAAATATATATTATTTACTTTTATATTCTTATGTATGTATATCTACATGTGTTTTATTTGTCACTGTATACATATAGTAAACATAACTAATATAGCTTTGTATGAATATTTTTCTACATACATATACACTATGAATTAAATTCAACGTCATGAAAAATAAATAACAAAAAAAAAACATTTATAAAGAATCACATGAAAAATCATTATTGCAATATTTTAGGCAAGCAACAGTGAGTGCTACTATCACACTTAGCAATATTGATTAAGCTGATCTCAGTTAATTTTTTTTTCGGATCTAAAAAAAATAGAAGGCGGAAAAAGCTTTACTATAAAAAAAAAATTTTTTTTTTTAGTTCGGTTCATACCGTGTCGTAGTACAATTTACAATTTTTAAAAGTACCGTTTAATACTAAAAAAAAAAACTATCAATTGTACTCAATTATTCAAGAGAACATAAAAAATTATTTGTAATATTTAAAAAATTTTGCGCAATATTTTTTTTTATTTCATCTACTTTTAAATTTATTTCCTTTGAGAGAGAATAGAAAGAGCGCAAATTCATAATTTCGTCTCTTATGAATTTAAAATTAATAAAATAATTAAAAAAATTAACTACAATTATTTATTTTTATCTTATTATTTTTAATAATTTAAAAATTTTGAGTGTTTTTTTCTAATTTGAAATTTGAGCATTAATAATTAATTGAATTTAGTGCATAAGTACTGGCATAACAATAATAATATGAGAGTTTGTGTTTCTCATGAGTAAAAAATAAAAAAAAAATAATATTATCCGCATTATACCTGCTTGCTTATACCGAAACGTACTTGCATATCTACGCACACATATTTTCATATATCCGCTTTAAAAAAAAATTTTTTTTGCAAAAAAATAATTTTCAAATTAAAAATAAATATTAAAAATAAAACACGCGTTTCCTAAATTTAAATTGATGAGTAATAAATAAATTTTTATTTTATTTTTTGAGTGAAAAATTTGATCAAAAGAATTTTTTTTTTATTTTATGTACGAGTGAGTGATTTTAATATTATATATATGCTATAAATGCTTGTGTACAAAGAAGACGACGTGTGCATGAAAGGCGAGAGCATATTATCACTATAGAGAAGACGACTCATCTATTAGTGTTATTTTTATTATTATTATTTTTTTTTGTTTTCGCATTCATTATAAAAATAACAAATAATAAAAATTTAAATATTTTTTTGAGCACTTTGGATTATCATTTGTCGACTGTCTTTAGTACATCGCGAATAAAATATGTAAAAAAAAAATTAAAATAAAAAAAACACACAAGAAGAAAAAAAAATAGTGTATATTTTTAGTGATTTGTGCTTCAAGATCAAAGCAATTATTTTTTTTTTTTTATTCAAATAAATTTTTAGTTTAAATCTTAAGAAATACATAATTAATGAATTTTGCCGCGAGAGAGAAAAACTCGAGAATATAGAACAATAATAAAAGAAAAAAACATAAATTATTTTATTAAAATATTTTATGCAATATAAAATTTAAAAAATTGAATAAGTTTAATTTAATAATTAAAAATAAATGAGAGAGCAATTTGTAATGAAAATTTAAAAAATAAATAAAATTAAACGAATAATTTTAATTAAATAATTTTAATTTTAAAAAAAAAATTTAATTTTGTTTTAATATTAAAATAAAAAATAAAATAAAAATCGCAAAACCCGATGCTACAACTTCATTTTTATTCAAATTATGCTGGTCGTTTAGTACTTGGTGGTAATAAAAATGACTATTGGTCATCTGATGTTTACCCAATTGAAAGTATTAAAGAATTTGAAAAAGTTTCTGAGGCCTGGAAACGTTTATTAGCTAATTTATTGAAACGAGGTTTGAAAAATTCAATTAAAATTGAAAAAATTAAATAACAAATTTGAATTATTTTAAAACTGAAATTCAAATAAAATTTGATCAAATAGCACAGATTTTTCAAAAAAAAAAAACAAAAAATTATTTTATATTATTCATTTTATTTATTTTAATTTACTAATATTTCTAATTTTCTTTTTTTTTTTTTCTTAATTGCAGAAGAAGATGAATCACAAATATTTGTTAAATTCTTTCGTTTTCATAAGTGCTATGATTTAATACCAACGTCAGCTAAATTAGTCGTATTTGATACTCAATTATTAGTTAAAAAAGCATTTTATGCATTAGTATATAATGGTGTTAGAGCAGCTCCATTATGGGATTCACAAAAACAACAATTTGTTGGTATGCTAACAATAACAGATTTTATTAAAATATTACAAATGTATTATACATCTGCGAATTCATCAATGGATCAGTTAGAGGAACATAAATTAGATACATGGAGAAGTAAGTTTTCTTACAAAATTATTTCTTTCAATTAAATAATTTGAAATTAAATTTTTTTTTTTTTTATAAAATTTTAGGTGTTCTTCATAACCAAGTAATGCCTTTAGTCAGCATTGGACCTGATGCATCATTATTTGATGCTATAAAAACATTAATACATAATAGAATTCATCGATTACCGGTTATAGATCCGCTGACAGGAAATGTTTTATATATATTGACACATAAACGAATACTTAGGTTCCTGTTCTTATATGTAAGTTATATCAACACATCACATACAATCAAATTCATATGTATGTATATAACATAATTTTGTTATATAAAATAAAAAATTCAGCTGGAATAGAAAATAAATTTGAATTCAATGTCTCTAGATTAATACGGAAGTAAAAAATATAAATTTAATCTGTTTATAATCTTAAGTATATAAGAATCAAACTTACTTTCTTTTTTTTTTGATTAAGCTTAAGTTTTACAATTTTAACTAGAATACATAATGTAACTGGTTCCCTAGCTTATATACAATTTTAATTATATAAAATACAAGGATATTTTAAATTAAAAGTTTGAAAGTAATTTTTCCTTGGAAATTATTTATTATTTTATAAATAATTCCCCAATTGCTATTAGTATTTTCAAATAATTTTCAAAATTTTTATTTATATTAACAATTATTTTGTTATACAATTAATTCAATCAGCTGATGTTATAATGATTTTAGTAAATATTAAAAAAAAAGTTTTCGAATTGAGTTAATGAAATTTTTTAATTCACTTTTTAATTAAAAATATCGCCTCCCTCTACTGCTCATGTTTTATATAAAAAATATACATACATTATGAAAGTAAATAAGTAATAGAATTAATATTGAATAAGTATTTGTAAAAAATTTATAATTTTTGCCTAATATTACTGTTTTTTTTTTATATTATTGTATTCTAAAAACTTGTTTGGTAATTCCGAACTTCGCAATTACTTTTAAAAATTATAATTTAATTGTGATAATAATTATAATTTACATTTATTATTATTTATATGATAATTGTTTCAAATAATATTAATAATAATTAATTAATTATGTTTCTTTTTTTACCATTTTTCTAGATTAATGAATTACCAAAGCCATCATATATGCAAAAGAAATTACGAGATTTGAAAATTGGAACATATAACAATATTGAAACAGCGACATCTGAAACTAGTATAATAGCGGCTTTAAAGAAATTCGTTGAGCGAAGAGTTTCAGCGCTTCCATTGGTAGATTCTGAAGGAAGGCTAATTGATATATATGCAAAATTCGATGTGATCGTAAGTTTCAAAAAAGAATTTTTATTTAAAAAAAAAAAGTTACTTAAACTAATGCAAATTTTTCTTTTCAATATTTTAGAATTTAGCAGCAGAAAAAACATACAACGATTTAGATGTATCATTACGTAAAGCAAATGAACATCGTAACGAATGGTTTGAAGGTGTTCAAAAATGTCGTTTAGATGAAACATTATATACAATTATGGAACGTATTGTTAGAGCTGAAGTACATCGTTTAGTTGTTGTTGATGATAATCAAAAAGTTATTGGAATAATCTCTTTATCCGATATATTATTATATTTAGTTTTAAGACCAACTGGTGAGGGTATGGGTGGATCTGAACAATCTCTAAGAGAATCAGATCCAATATTACAAAGTAAAAGTTCATTAGATGATGATGATGATGTTAGTACAATGCCTGCTACTGAAGTACCAACAGGTGATGATGATAATAATAAAACACCATCCGGTTCAACGGGATCAAGAAGTTTTGCTGAAGATATTCAAGAAGAAAATGGTGTTATTAATAATAATGAAAATATAATGAATAATAAAAATAAAAATAATAATTCTGATGATAAATTAAATAATAATAATAATAATAGTAATAATAATAGCGAAGCAGATGGTGATAATAGTAACGATAGTCGCAATAATAGTGATAATCAATTGAAAAATATCAATAATAAAGATTATGATAATGAGGACGATGATAAAAAATTAAATGAAAAAAATATGGGTGATAAATTATTAGATGATATTGTTGGTGACAGTGGTGCAGATGATAACACCGATAATTCCAAAGATTTAGTAGAAGATCAAAAACAATTAATTGAAAATTGTATTTTAAAGAAAGATAAATCTGATGAGGATGTACAATCTTTAAAAGCGGAGGATAATAATATTATTTCAGTACCAGCTGTACGTGAAGTTGGCTTGGTTAGCGAATAAAATGATTATAAAATAAAAATAAATAAAACAAAAAAAAAAATTTGAATTTTTTTTTTTTTTTCTTATCAAATAAGTTTTACACATTATACACACACAATTTTGTAATTATAATTATTATTATTGAAAAAAAAATAAAAAAAAAAACAACAACAACATACATACATATTTAATATACAAAAAATATAATTATATATAAAAAAAAAAAAGAAATAAAAAAATTAAAATAAAAACAAAGTTGAAATTATTTATTAGAGAAAATTTTCCAAATTTTAAAGATAATAATTTTTTTTTTTAAATATTTATATTAAATTATAAGCAGAATAAATTATTAATTATATTAAAAATTTATTGTAGATCTTTTATCAATCATTTATTGAAATTTTAATTTAATTTAATTATTTAAAAAGCATTTAAATTTGCTACTAAATAAATAGAAATAAACCAAATTTATATTCAAATATTGATTAAAGAAGAAGATTATTTTTTTTTATAAGAAACTAAAATATTGAATAATTTTAAAATGAATTAAACGTTTGTTTTTTAATAGAAGAAATCTGATTGTGTCTTATTGATTCTTCATAATAAGAAAATTAAATTTATTTGCATTAAAAAATTATACGAGACACTAGTGTATTTGTTAGAAATTCAAAATATGTTTTCAGTATAAATTTTACAAATTTACGAAATTTGTTTTTGATATTTTATTTTACATAAAATTTTTTGTATTAAATTCAAAAAATAAAATGTAAATACAATAATTTTATTTAATTATTCAATATAACAAAAATAAATTTAGTATTTCAATAATAAGTTCAAAAAACGACACTTTAAAATATTAATTAAATAAAAATATTCCATAAATAAATAAAAATCTTTAATGAAGATTTAACAATTAAATTGAAAAATAAGTAAAAATTAATTTATTTTGCTAGTAATTTAATATAATAAATTTTAATATTTTAATTTTAAATACAAAATTTTATTTTTGATAATTTTTAAAAATAAAAATCATATTATGTTTTACAAAATATTGAAAAAAATATAGCAAATTTTCATTTAAAATAAAAATAAAAAAATATATAAGATAAAAATTAAAATTAAAATTAATTTTCATTTCGTATGCTCTAAAATGTTAATTATATTTATGTATAACTACCTATTTTTAATACAATATATATAGAATAATTGTAAATAATTTTATGTATTTATTTTTATAAATTCAAATTATTTTATATTTATTGTAATTTAAATAGATTTTTGGCTATTTTAACAATTTAAATTCATATAAATTACCTAAAAATTATTATAATGCTCGTATATTTTATACACATACGATATTTAAATTTATTTTAAAGAAAATTTCTTTAAATAAGAAATAAGTTATTAATTTTAACTAAAATATAATCTATGGAATTTTGTTAATATTAAAATTAAAATATACAAAAATCAAATGGAATTGATTATAATTTTTTTAATTATTTAAATTTACCAATTTAATGAAAACAATGAAAATTTTATTAAATTATAAGGCAAAAAAAAATTATGTTATTTGTTAATTTTTTTATATTTGTTTTTAATTCATCTATTAAATAATAACTTACCAATTATCTCATAATTGAAAAAAAATTGATTTTTGTGTAGAAAAAAATTTCTGAAAAACTTTAATTAAAAAATAATATAATTTAATAATCCATTATATTCTGTTAGTCGTATCATTTGAGGTTATGGGGTATTATTGAAAAAGTATTGTGGTTTTCAGTATAGAATTTCAAATTTTGAAATATATTTTATTTTGAAAAGCTCAATTGATCATGCCAACTGATGCGGCTAACTACTTAATAACATAGTCGAATGAAATGGGCTTATATTAATTGTTCTATAAAGAATTTAGCCAGTTGTAAACATAAAAGAAATGAAAAAAAAACTAGAAAAATTTTATTGAAATAATATTTTTGTTATTTTTAATTGTATTAATTTTAATAATAAAATTCAAAATTATGTCTTAATTATTTTAACATAAATATTGTATAACATGGCATACGAAATGTAAATCTATTAAATATTTTTAATTTATACTTTTTACATTTTTTTCTCTCCAAACTTCAATACGTGTATTTTTAAATAAAATATTTTTACAAAACAAAAAAAAAAATTATTTTCTTTAAAATTATTGTAATTACACTTACAATTATTTATTCTCGATCTAATATTATAATAAATTTTAAAATTATTAGATCAAAACGGAAAAATATAATAAATTTTACTTTCAAGTCCAACCACTTAGAAAAACTTTAGAAAATTAATTAAAAAGAATTGAAGAAATCAATAAAGAAAATAAAAAAAAAAAAATAAATATTTTTTCATAAAATTAAACAATAATTATATTTATAGATTAATAATTTTAGAAATAAATAATAAAATAAAATTACTAATATATTATTAATTATGGTAAAGAAAAATGTTTTGTTTTTTTTTTTTTTTTTTTGAAAATATAAATAAAATAAAAACAAATTCCTAGAATTAGTATAACTAAAGCTAAAATTTAAGATTAATTGGTAATTATTTAATAAAAAAGAAAAAATAAGAATAAAGTTAAAAATAATAGTGTTGACATTATTAAAAAAAATTTAAAACAAATTATATAAATTTAAAAAAAAAAAAAAAGCAGAATACAAAGAAAACACGAAATATTAAAAAACAAAAAAAAAAAAATATTAAATAAATTCGCTTGAGTTTTCATTTTTTGGTGTATTTTATTTTTAAAATTAAATAAATTTAAATTTTCAGATTCCTATGAAAACTACATTTACACTAACTATTAAGAAAACTTAAAATTATACAATTTTGTAGATCTCAAGTAAAAGAAATGCAAAACTTGTCCAAGGAAAAACTCTTACATAATTAAGAAAACAACCTAAGAAATTATTTATTTTTCATAATTATTCTTTACAATTTCTAGATGAAAGCGATTTTTTCCAAAATAGCTTATAGGGGGGTTTTTGTTTATTCAGTTCTAGAATAGTTTTAACTTGTAGTACGTTCGAAAACTCATGCTATATACACTGAAAATATAGATCGTTGAGAAATTACTGCTTCCAATAAAGTGCATTCGAAAATTCAATCTACAATAAAGAAATGTTAGAAATGTAGCGTAGACCTCTAGTATTAATTTTGTCGCTACTTTATTTTTTTTTTTTTTTTTTTTTAAATTTAAAATTCAAAAAGAAATTTTAAATTTAAAAATGTCATATTCAGATATTGAAGAATTATTAAAGTAAGTTTTCTTTAAGTTTTATTAAAATTTCCTTATTTTGCAGCGAATTGGGAAGCGAAAAATATTGAGATACAATTTCATAAATAATATCATTTCTATTATTTTCGAATAATAGGTTATTTAAAAGTTTCAGAATTTGTAGACTGCGTATAAACAAAAAAAAACTTAGCTAAAGTTTTTACAATACTGTTTAACGTTGCATTTTAGAAATTTTAGTTCTATAATGTAGAACTTTGGAGCGCACCGTGCATAAACGAAAGCCCCTCGTATTTGACATAATATGCTGGTATCAGTTCTAAGTTTTCGCACATTTCAAAGTTTGCAATTGTAAGCAAACTTTGAAATTTTGTCTTTCATTTAGAGATTTCCTTCAAAATTACTTTCAGAAACTTTCTTTCTTTTTTTGAAATACTTACATGTGGCCCCAGTAAGTGCAACAAAATATGTATGCATTATAATACAAGTAATATTCCAGACCAGTAAACCTTATACGTAGTATATTTTTATTGTAAATTTTGGTATTAATGATTTATTCCGAAATTTAAAATATTTATTGCGAATAGTTCTATGAATTCGCCACACGTAACAAGTGTACCTACAAATTTACGCTGAACTTTTCAAATTTCCTAGATTACTGTATATAGCATGAACAGCTAATTGAATCGTATAAATTTACTGAAATCATCAACATTTTCATTCACCTGAATAAAATCAAGTCCAAAATTAAAAATTTTTTATTGAAAAACAAAATATTTTTCAATAATATCCCGTCCGCTCAAATGATGCTACTAACAGAATCGGGGTGCTTAAATTATGATCTGACATACATACATATATGTAATGTAATTTAATTTTTGTACAGACTTAGTTACTTCAATTTTTAATTATTTTTCATACAATAGAAATCCTATATACATTTCTGACATTACTAAATACATATGTCTATTTACGTTAGGTATGTAATTTAATAAAACTAAATGTCTATTTAAATCGTCACCTGAGTGGAATTTTAATACATACACCATTTTCGTAATTTTTGGACTTTAGAAAACTTTCAAAAATTTTCGGGGGTAACTTTTCAGAATATGCAATCCGTTTTTCGCTATATCATATAGAGTTTAATAGATATACAGTTATATAACATTATTTTGATCCATCTTAATTTTAGATTTTAACAATAAGGTGATACATACGCAATATGTTTTTGACAGTTGTATAAAAACTTTTGCTATTTTGAATTTGCAATTTGTGTTCATGAACGAAAATTGTCGTTAACAAAAAAAAAAATTCATTTATTTTGGGCCAAATAGTGAAAAATTCTATTTCAGGAAAAATAAAAATTAAGAAAAACAAAAAGAAATTTTGTTATGTTTAAGTACAACAACAATTAACAAACGAATTCCTAAAAAAACACTGCAAAAACTAGTAAAAAAATAGTAGAGCAGATTTTAACTTCACTAGCCATAATAATTAAAATATTTTTGTGATAGATTAGCAATGTTTATGAACAAACTTAATTAGCAAAATTTTGTTTGTGAACCCAAATACAGTGCAGTTTTCGCTATATTTCGCTATAATACTGCGTTTATAATACTGCGATTTGTAAAACACATTTTGATCTCATAGAGCCTTATTCTAGTTGTCGCGTCATTTACGTGACATTTTTCGTTGTCGCTGTCACATCATTTGAAATGTGGTATTCTGGTTGTCGAGTGACGTGAGTGCGAGAAATAATCGAAAATGAAACGTTTCAATTGAAATTGATACATTTTAAAAAGAAATTTCGGCGAGTAAAGTTGAAACTAAAAAAAAAATTTTCAGTGTATATATTTATATTTTTAAATAATAAAAAATGTCATTTGCATTATGGTTTACGAATTCATCTGATTCCGGTAGTGATAAAATTAAAAAAAAAACAACAAGAATCGAAAGATTTAAGATCAGCAATAGCTCTAATCCATCGGATTTGCCAAAGTTTTTCTAGTAAATTAGTTGCAAACATTTTATTAATAAAATTAATAATGAGTTATAAACTATTACAGACTTCCAAAGGCGTTCTCTGTCATGAAATTTCATATTCTTCAAATTTTTCACGCTAAAAACAAAAATTAAATTATATATTTTATGACTTAATTTATGTATAAAATTAATTTTTTTATGATTTTGTTAAATTGTTTTGTTTTAACTTGCATTTTTGGTGTATCCTTCTTTCTTGTCACTTGTAAATACTTTTCGACAAAAAACGTCGTTTCATTA